TTGGTAACAAGACCCTAAAGCATGAGATGATGTTATTGGGACTCAACAACATTGATTAGACCAGAGTACAAGTACCTTTACGACGTCGTCCAAGTCATCGGAGGGAGAGATGGGAGGACTGTCTGTCTCCGTAAAAGAACCGCCTCCGTTGAGTGGGCCGCTACTGTGTGATAACCTTCCCGACGTTAACGGCGACACCTCCTTCATTATTTCAAACATAAACCCATCAAGATCAAAAACAGAGGCTACTTAATTAGTGTCTGAAAATCCGTACCGACTGAGACATTATGCGCTCGAGAACGAGCTGTGAAGTGGCAGAGGCAGCGAACGAGAACTGGCAGCTGCTCTCCGGAGGACATTCTTCTTTCTCGGGGTTGGTCTCTTCCGGTATCGGAGTGTTAATGGAGGAAGGAGGTCTGTTTGCTGATTTGGCAGTGTGGAGAGCTCTCGAGACTTCCAAGGCAGAGACGCTCCAGGATCTTGACAAGAACTCCATTGGGCCTCGTGGGCTTTCCGGTAGCTGAGTACTCCCACCACCGCCTGAAGAAAGTATCTCCGGCCGGCGAGAGCTGTTGATTGGGTTCGGTCGTCTCACGTCTCTCTCCATTTCCTTTTTTTTTGTCGACTTGAGAGCTTCTTGACAAGGAAACTTAATGTTGTGTGTATATATAAAGACCAAAAAACGTTTAGGTGTTTCACTTTTTCCTTACTTTTTTTTCATTTAAAAGAAAATGTAATTATTCCATTGAGGTGAGTAGTAGGAGTAAGTACTACTACTGCTCTTCTTGTAATAATATATGTAGTCGTTGCGTAAATAATGGATACTAAAGAAAACGTCGCTTTTCAATAATAAGGCCGCATCTTCCAAATTGTTTAATACACACATAAAAATTACTTTAGGCGTAACAAAAGGAATCTTGAAAGGAAGAAAGAGAGGGAATAAAGCCGTCGTTGTATTTGCCTTTATATACTACTAATCAAATGCTAATCACCGATATTGGGATAACCGAGTGAGTAGTTATTACAGTAAGACATTTATCTTTCAAATGACTAAACAAAGCTTTTATAACAAAGAGTGTTGTGTCTTTTTTATTAAAGAAAAGCACAAAGTTTTTGTTTGTGTTGGATTAATCAAGCATCTAGTTAGCGATTTTGAGTTGGTGTGCTAAACATGTGGGAGAGTGACTGTGTTTGATCAGTCTCTTAATTTGGTCCATGGCCTTACTCTCTCACTGTTCCCTTTTGCTTTGGTTTTTAAACAAGAAAGCTGCAGCGACCTTTGCGTACATTCACACATGTTGCTTCGCATGCTTTCCCTTACGTCACCTTCTTCTTCTCTCTTTTTCCTACCTCAATCCAACTTCGTAAATAGTGTCATTTTTATTTAAGCTATTTCTGATAAGC